ACTAACAACATTTTTGTCAGGTTACAAAATATCCAAACTCTGGTAACTGGCATTAGCCTGCTTTCATGCCCAGAGATTTTCAAAACACTTAGCAGACCTGGAGAGGGTACACAGTGACTTTGTAAGACTGTGCCTCTCCCATTTCTGTGGAAAAGCAGAATGTGTTTTCCCGCAAGAATATTTAACGTCAGTTAAAAAAATAGAGTAAAATAAGTGCTGTTAATATAAAAAAAGTCTATGTTTTAGAAAGAAGACACAAAATAAATCATGGTCTAAATAAAAATAACACACCTCTCAAATTGGAGAAAAATTATCTGAAAATAGAAGTCAAAGCTTGATTTTGAAATTCACGGATAGTGACTGCCAGGAGATTCTGTCTATTGTTACACTGTCACCAGCAGAGATGGCTGTAGAAAGCAACTTTTCTCTTATTATTTCAACACATCTGCTACTGGCTTCATCCAGGACTCTGTAACCAAGGATCAGAAAAACGAGCAACATTGCACTAAGAAAAGTGAAATAGCTTTTCCAATATGTGCAAAAATGCAGGGCTCAGACTGACATAAAAGGCTCAAAAGAATTATTTTCAACCCACATGAATTTGTTTTGTCCTTGTAATATACACACGGCATGGGAATTTTATGACTCAAAAATATTGGAAAAAATGGGTTCTCAGAATTTTACTCCTGAGGATCAGACATTTGGAAATGTTACGGAACTTGTCCAAGATCATTCACAAAAGTAAATGCAGATACAAGTCTACAGTTGATGCCTTTTCATTCCAACACACTCCTTTACATACTGCATACTACTTCACAGCAAAGGGCATGGACAAAAATTAAACTACTTGCAGAGTAAAAAAAGTTGCCTTGAATATTTTTTAAGTTTAGTGCAAGTATTTTATTCATCTACTCATGTGGAATTTTTTCCAAAGTAAGGTTTTTAAATGCATCAGTCAATTCTCCCATAATGGCATCTATAAAATGTGTAGAATACATTTTATAATCAGATTGCAATTATAACACATGTATTATAAATAAATATTTTCATTCAACTTAACTGATACAATTTTCTATTAAATAAGGAAAGGCCCATTATCTGTGATAAATTATATAATTAAACCAACAGAGTTAAAGGTAATTTTAGGAAACCAACCGCTTCCTAGATCTGAAGAAGAAAATCACATGGAAAATCAACTTCTAATAAAATTAGAAATAGCACTCACTAAGATTTTGTCATTCTAAGATTAAGGAAAAAGTTTTTATTTGGTTTTCTTTTTTTTTTTTTTGTATACCTAAAAATGGTACAGGAGGCTTCAAAAAGTTTATGAAACTAGGATTAAAAGGTAACTTTAACTTTTGCTGAAAGCAACTTGGAAATTATGCATAGTTTTTTTTTTTATGAAGAGAAACCATCCATGAGATTTTTTAACACCTTTCACACAACTAAATTTATTTCCAAATGGTAAATCCTAATTTTTATGAGTTAGTGACATGGGGCAGAGGCTAATCCTCCACTCTGTGGTGCCATCCCATATGGGCATTAGTTCACGTCACAGCTGATGTATTTCTGTTCCAGCTCTCTGGTTACGGCCAGGGCTCTCCTGCACCCATGTGGGAGATGTGGAAGAAACTGCTGCCTCTAAGCTTCAGATCAGCTCAGCTCTAGTCACTGTGGCCACTGGAAGTGAGCCAATGAATTAAACAATCTTGGTGTTAAAGCTGAATTGATCTCTATACCAGTATTCTTGAATTCTTATGTGATGGGCTGCAACCTAATTTCTGTGCATAAATTAAAAGCCCAATGTTGTAATTTGCCTTTGTAACAAATAGTTAAGTCACAGTCAATCACAGCACTGAACATCAATCGTGGGTAGCCACTGTTGGTTTCATCTTCAAATAGGGCAAGCCCCAACCTGGAATGAATCTGACTTTCTCTGTACTCTGTTGCTGTTTTCTATATATCACCTCACCTTTCTCAATCCTAAATGCTTTCAACACCAGAATGTGTCTGTGATGAATATATATTTTTTATTCTCTAAGGAAATTTTGAATTATATATACATTTTTTCAGACAGAAAGTAATCTATAGAACTCAAGAGAATATAAATATAAAAAAACAATAATGTGAGAGTGTAGTGATATGACAAACATATCATGTGAAAGAATGCACAATCAATGTGAAATTATTAAATATCTCCTCTAGGGAAGTAGTATTATCCAGATACTTGTCATCTAACACCTACACTATTACAGAGATTTCCTGGCTTTATTTGTAGATCTTCCACACTATTGTTGGGATGATTTTTCCAACAGACTCGATACCCCTTTATGTATTTCAATAATGTTCAAGGATATTGAAGCCAAAGTCTACCATTAAGATCCTTCACAAGCCGACCAATAACTACTTATCCAGTGGATGCAACTTCCAGCTAACTTACCCAGGACCTTCCTTGTTGTAATGCTGACTACATTCCATTAATACTTACACCCCCTGCAAAAACTCCATGACTACTGATAATATTATTTACACACCTTAAGCCATCACAGAAATATCTCTTAATTGCTAAGATCCCTACTTACATCTATGTCACACATGTGAGCATCTAGGATGGAGTGCCTTTTCCTGGCCTTGGATTGGGCCACACATGGTTCTTTCAGCTGTTTGGGGAGTGAACCAGTCGATGAAACTTCTATCTCATTCTCAGTCTTTCTCTCTCTATGTAACTCTGCCTTTCAAATCAATAATATATATATAATTTGTAATTTATATTTTTCTAAATTCAACTGTCAGTAATAAAATTTTATAAGCCCACCTATCCGTTTACTGCAGTTACTTTTAGTCAGCATGTGTTAGGAGTACTTAAAAAGTTTTATTTTTTACTTTTAAATTAATATTTTTATTTATTTGAGCAACAAAGACAGATACACTGACAGAGACACAAAGAACTCACTGATTTATTCCCCCAATAACCTGCAACAACTGAGATAGGGTAATGCTACTGGGGGGTAAAAGCCACCAGAACTTAGCTTTTCTTTTTCAACCTTTGTTACACTTTCAATGAAAGAGTGAATAGCATAATTTTACAGAAAGCTTACTTTAGTAATCTTCCACCAGCAGACCTTATGTTTTGATGAGTACTGACTTCCCAATTGAAGGATGAGTGCCTCATCCTAACGCAAAGACTTGTTGGTGAGGATGCAAAATTTCACAGGTATTGGGCATGTTCAGTGGTCCATGGGCTTTTGTGAACAGGAGGTAAGCTTCCTTCCTCCAGAAGATATTAGGATGGCATTCACACCATATGCCCTAAGACCTAATGAAGAATCCAATCATCCTTCTAGTCTTGCTCAATAATCTCCATCCCACTACCATTACCGGGGCTTTACACAGGTACACACATACAACCATGCACTTGTACACACCACGCACACACACAGACACACACACACACACACACCCATGAGAAAAAGAGACATTCTGGAATGGAACCAAAGCAAATTCTTCAGAAACCTAGAAAAAGACTAAAGGAATTATTTGCTCATCCTATTGTCAGGATGTCTGACATTAACCAAGTTTCATATAGTTTCAAGTTTCAATTCAAAACATTTACATAAGAGTACCCCCTGATGTTTTACAGCGGTTTTTCCTTGTTATAAAATTCTCAAAATATTGACCTCCTTGGAAACATTTCTTCTTACACTCCATTGCATTTTATAAATGTCTCTTCTTTGGTTTCTTGAGTTGCCATTAAATATATCATGAACCCCCCACCCCACCCCACTCCACCCATGAAAGTTCAACTTTTCAGATTTAGTTTTTGTCTTCAATTGTGGTGACATCATCACTATTTGTCAACAGAATGATTATTATATCTCAAAGGAGCCAATCCCATACATAAGCCATTAAAATACAATGACTTGTGCCATGAAAAAGACGCAGATAGAAACCATGAGGGAATTTTATGTCGTGAGAAGACAAATAAGCAACAGAAACAACTGAACAAAGAGATAACTACACCGTTGGAAGAAAAACCCAAAGCTTTGGTTGCTATTATCATAATCTATGTCAGGCGCTATGCCACTGTGTTTAACAATCCATAATAGCGACAATATCGAGAGCTAAAAAGAATTATGGCTCAAAATTTACTGATTATGAAACTGAGCTACACAGAGTTAAGGATTTGCCATTTACCAGGTATTGTATTAGTAGTTAGTGATACAAAAGTCATTCAAATACATTTCCTAGTCTCAAAGAATGTTGGTCACTTTCTCAGTGACCTGATGGGAAAGTAAGACTAGAGACCTCAACACTGACTGTCAGATAAGCGGTCAGTGCTTAACAGAATTCCTGGAACAGGGAAGTATAGAGTGTTTGTGGAATGAGCACCATGTTATTTACTTAGTCATATTTCTGTCATTTGTTTTCTAATACACAAGCTACTTAATGAGGAAAACAAGAATCGAACACAATTTGGATTGAGTATATATATTTTTACATCTTTAGTCATGCATTTGAATTTTTGGCCTTCATGTTCATTACCAAAAGTTGTCTCTAAATGCCTCTCCATCTTCTCTTTCAATTAGATCACTTACAAATATATAATTTTACTATCGTCACTTTTAAGACATTTGAAAATCTATTTAAATGGGCAAGTGAGACAAAAGTGAAATTTTGCTTCTAGAAGAGAAAAATTACTATTTTGAACCAATATCATCTTTGTTACTACATTCCATAAATTCCCTGTACTTTCACCATGATAATAGTACCACAAAAACAATGAAATTATACTTGATTCAACATTTTATTCTCTAGAATTTGGGCCAACATGAAAGGGGATCAGACTGCTGTTGATCTCTTTGTCATAGGCTAGACAAAGTGATTTTCATTTTGAAGAATGATTTTTTGTTGTTGTTATTTAATGTTTTCACACCTTTCCCCTAAAACTGTCAAATAGTTAGACCAAAGGTTATTGAGCAGGGCATTTAAACATGACTTACCTGTAGTTTTGCTTCTCATTTCCTATGTGGAACCTGTCGTATTGTGAATACGCCCGGTTTCCTTCCCAATCCATTAACTCAATCCTTAGTGTGTACTGCCTCTGACTTGTTATGGCAAAAATAAACTCATTCCCCAGCCAATATTCACCAGAAGGATTTCCAAAACCCTGGGAAGAAAGAGAGAGATGCAGTTGTTTCTTTAGAGAGAAACTCTTTTCGATTTCAGCATTTAATTTTGTTCCAAATAATAATAACATTTCATGCATTTTTGCCAACTGTTGACTTACTTCAACAATTCTTATGCTATTTTGTCTCCATCACGACTCAGTTTTAACTTTTATCAAAATAACAATTTATTATCCAAATCTGTGTTAATGTGGCAGATGTGGTTTAAATAAATTTTGATAGTTTCAACCAAGAAGCATTTCTCAATTCAACGTTCACTTTTCAGAAGGTTTTCTACTAGTTAATGTAATATTGTGAATGTTATTGTAACTTTCCTCCATGTACACTGTCAGAGTACTGTGCAGCAAATCATGTAGCAGTATTGTTAGGGTTCACAATTCCAATTATGTTCCTGTAACAACTTTACACTTGACCTTTAACTTTGGCAGCTTCACCATTGATACCTTGAAAAAATATTAAAAGCAAGCTTTTAAATCCACACCACCATCACCTAGAATGCCCTACTCTCACATTGGGCTGTTAGAGCAGAAAAGGGACTTAGAAAAGCCAGTTAGTGACCCTGCACTGCCTGCTTTGCATCTCAGTCTCATGATTCTCTTGGGCAATTCTAGTCACAATTGTTAAATGTTCAAGCCGTCTACTTGTGAGATGGTGGGAAGAAAGAAGTCTCCAGAAAAAAAAAAGGTTAAACCTGAATGTTGGAGATACTAATGATAGGAAAATTAAAAACAAGACAAAACTATTAATGGCTGGCATTTTAGATTTTGGGTATGCACGGTGACTTCAGAAACCACTCCTTGGTAATACCTGGAGTTTAATTTGATTTTTTTAAGGATTTATTTTATTTAATTGAAAGGAATAGTTTTAGAATGAAAGAGAGAACTCTTCCATCCATTGGTTTACCCTCCCAGATGATTGCAATGACCAGGACTATGCCATGCCAAAATCAGGAGCCAGGAGCTTTTTTTGAGTCCCACGTGGTTGCAGGGAGACAAATACTAGCGTCATCCTCAGCTGTTTCAGTGAAATTAACAAACAATTTCATTGCAATGATCAGGTTGTGAACTCCCTGATAGTAGCTGTACTGTAGCAGTGAGGCCTCAAAAACTAGTGGAGAACTGGTATACCCTGAGCTTTCAGTAAGTGTTCATTAGGTTCAAAGAAAAAAGCAGAGAGAGAGAAGGGGAGTGTGAAGTAGGGAGAGACAAAGATATGGGTAAGGCAGGCAACGCTCCATCAGGTGGCTGTATTATTAAGGGAGGTAACCTAAAAGCCCCTAGGGTTGTGCTTCAAGGAAATGTTTCTTAAGAAGTTTAATAATCTCATAATAACAGAGCTTTGCTTATAAAACAAATATTTTGGCTCTAAACTAAGTCAAAGCATTTGAGAGTCCTGCATAGTCAATCATGTCAGTATAAACTGCCGAATTTGTCTTGTGTGCACTAAGATCTAGAATACCATGTGCAGTTATCATAGAGTACACTCTGATGACTCACAAAGATGGTCAATTGAGGTACTTTATAATGTCGGTCTTATCTAAATTAAGAAACATGAGAGACAGACTGAAATAATTACAAACATCCTTATTTTATCAATTCACATCACAGAATTTTGAAAACCATTGCTTCATTTCAAACCATATATATGTGTCAGTTTTCTAGAATTATAAATATGGCATGTTCTTCGCTGCTTTCTTCTTTATTGCATCACCATTCTGTTCTTTATTTTTTCTTTGAAATGTTGAGATGCACAGGCTATACAAAATATGCATTAAGTATGCGTACGCACCATTGCTGCTACCTAATGAATTATTTAAGAAAGATACCTAGTGTTTCAAAACAAAACCATTTATGCCCTTACTGTATCTGTGATATGCTATGAGGATTAGTTAACAAAGGGGAAAGAAAGATTTTTACACATTTTAACTTGAATGCCTAGGCTTACTCAACAAGGTGAACAACTGAAAAGTCGCTCCCATAGAAGGTGGTTACCAGGGAATACAGAGCGATGGAGAATATTTGATTAATAGATACAAAGTTATAATTAGATAAGAGAAAGAATGTCTGGTGTTCTATTGTACAGAGTGAGTACAGATAATGTGCTGTGTATTTTTCTTGAAGAAGATGGAGAAGGAGGAGGAGGAGGGAAGACAGAAGAAGGATGAAGAGAAGAGGAAGAAGAGGAGGAGGAGGTCAACACCATCACATAGAGGCTAAGGGTCCGCTTGTGATGCCAGTATCCCATATGAGCACTGGTTCATGTCCCAGTTGCTGAACTTCCACTCCACCTCTCATTGTGACCTGGGGAAGCAGCAGAGGATGGCTCAAGTCCTTGGCCCCTCCACCAGGGTGAGAGACCCAAAAGAAGGTCTTGATTCCTGAATTCAGATCAGCTCAGCTGTAGACATTGAGGCCATCTGGAAAGTGAACCAGCAGATGGAAGATTCCTCTTTCTCACTCTCTTTCTGTAACTCTGCATTTTGGATGAAAATAATTAAGTAAATAAACTAACTTAAACAGCAAGAATAAGGCATTTTAAATATTTTCATCATAAATATAACATCAGTGCTTGAAGCGGCACTGGTATTGTGTACAGTGGTTTGCAACACCAGCACACCATATATGAGAACCAGTTCTAGACCTAGCATTTCTTTTATTTATTTATTTATCTTTTAATTAGGGTAAAAAGGTTCAAGGGCTACAGGAAAGTGGGTAAGACTATTATTTTTTCCATATTGTTTCCTTCATGTTTAAAGGGGGGTATTAAGGGAGAAGGCCCACCCAATTTCCCACCCTTCCCAGGTCCCGGATGTAGGGTATGCTCTGAGGCTCTTGCTCAAGTGGTTGATATTTCAACAGTTATGAATCGCTGCCAATCTTGCCACTCCAAGCACTATGAGGTCTTTGAAGAATGCACTGATTAACATAGTCCATCATAGAGTCTCCGTTTACCCCGTATTTTGCTGCCAACATATAGCTGAGATTAGACCTAGCATTTCTTAGCAGAAACCTGGACAGGCAGTAAGTAGATGGTGGCTAACATATCTGGGCCCCTGATGCCAATGTGGGAAATTCAGAGAGATTCTGTCCTGCCCAGAGCCTGTTGTAGACAATGGGACTGAACAAGCAGGTCAAAGAATTTTCTCGGGCCTGGCGGCATGGCCTAGTGGCTGAGGGCCTCGCCTTGAATGCACCAGGATCCCATATGGTCGCTGGTTCTAATCCCGGCAGCTCCACTTCCTCTCTGTCTCTCCTCCTCTCTGTATATCTGACTTTGTAATAAAAATAAAATAAATCTTAAAAAAAAAAAAGAATTCTCTCTTTGACTCTCCCTGTTTTTCTATTGCTCTGCATTCTAAATAGACACACAAATATATTTTCTAAAATGGGTAAAAAGAAATATTTGTATGTTTAAAGCTCAAATAAAATATATTCATATTTATATGCACACTTTTACTGTAGCACAAGCTTAACTTAGTTCCTCGATTCACTGAAGATCCCTTGTGCAGAGTGGATTGGGTATAGATGCTGTTGGAGGCTCCTCCTGCCACTCAGAACCAAAATGTAGAACTCATTGAAATTGGTCCTCTAGTGGCTCCTTCTTTCCATGTTTAAGATGCTCAAGCCACACTTTGCAAAGGTTCCACAGTAGCAGAAAACAATACAATTGTGGATGTGTATTTGTGGCAGCTGGTGCTACACACCAGGGAGAAGATCACTGCGTACAGAGCTGAAAAATCAGAGTTAGCTCTTTCTCCATCACATCAGCTCTTGGGAAGATAAACACCAGCGGGTTTTCCCCTGAATCTCTCGGTAGTTTGGACATGTCAAAACTCCCTGTAACCACTTGACGATTCCCTTTTCTATGTGACCATGGACCAGGGAGTCAGCAATTGAACCGAATGCGAATAAAGAGGCTGGGAATGATGAAGTGTTAAGATTTAGGTCACATATTTTCATGCTGTTGAAAGCATTGTGTGGATAAAACTCCCAAGCTTCCCCAGGGAAAAGTGTGATGTGAGGCAAACCCCAGGAATGGATCAGCAGCATAGAGTCATTCTTAGAAACGCCTCCATCCCCAGCTCAGCCTGCAGGCCAGCAATCATGTGAGTGAAAATAAATACTTTTTCCTTATACGTTGCTTTTAATTGTTTCGGGGGGTGGGGAGGAAGAAGCAATTGGAAAGAAAGCAGCAAAATCATCCTCTAGAAACCAAAGTTCTGTTTTGTACACTTTCCCAAAGTGCTCTCCTAGAATGCTTTATGATACACGGGATATGCTTGATTACAATGAATCAACATGGTCGTTAGCTAGTTCATGGGGGAAACCTTCTAATAGCCAAGTGCAGTGCTGCAGAAATGTTTCATCATAAAGATGAAAAATATGTGAAGCAAGAGGAACTGGGTTCCCATGTTAACAAATTGTATTGTATCAGCATGATCACAGAGCTTATGCATAGGAACAAAGGCTTGGCTTGGGTCAAACAACGTTTACTGCTTATCTCTGTTCCAAAGCGAAGCCTTGCTCTGACATACACATACATACTTGTTGTGGAACCCCCTGCTTCCTTTCTGAGGCTTGATGACCTTCTATGTTAGATGAACATTAACTATACTATTTCCAATCCCAAGATATGAGAATAAAATATGTAAGGACCTCAAAAAGTTTTTAGAAAATGAAGTGAAAAGATAAGTTCACTTTCTTAAAAATAGTTTCTGAAATCTATGAATGTGAAGGGTCTTCAAACCTTTTAACAATTTAATGCTAAGCAGCCAGCTTCCTCCTCTGTGTGACAAAGGAAACAAAAAAATTCTAGAGGCTTGTCATAACCCAAATCTAATGAAACAATTTGATAAAAGGCTTTCGGTTTGCGGAAATTCTGTGTTGTAATGACAAGTTGAGTTTAGGTATGTAAAAATAGGTATTGCTGTTTTACTCTAAGAAGCTAATTAAGTTAAATAATAAAAGGAACTGCTTGCTAA